TAGGGAAATGAATGGTACAAAGAATTGAGAGGAAAATTGAAGTTTGGAGGGAAATTGGATGGAGCCCGAAAGTGGAAAATATGTGACTCCATGTGCATCAAAACTCATTCAATTCCTGTGTTTTGATCCTTAATTCACCCTTGGGAACTTTGTTAAACATGTTTAAATCAAAAATGCATGCTAATTTGGTGTTTAGAAGCTGAATTATGGATTTCAAATTCTGACTTGGAAGGAAATTCAATTTCAAGTAGCTGACTTTGAACTCATGGTGTGCATGATTTAGGGAACCTTAGGATCTAATTCTTGATGCATTGGAAAGATGAGGTAAAATTATTTATAATGTTCCGGGAAAGAGATCATTTGGATGCTTGAGCTAGAAGTTGTGTTTGGTCAAAATCAGAAAAAAGGTGTTGACTTTTATACTTCAAAAAAAATCTAAGTTTTTCTTCAAAAATGACCTAAAATGTTTTGACTCCAAACAAGGTCTTATTCCAAAATTTTGCTTTAATAAATGATGCTAGCTTAAAGTGGTCTCCTTAAAGAGTATTTTTAAACTTGTATCACTCAAAAATTCCAAATATTGGACAAGTTATGATCCTTTGAATTTGATGAAAATCCATGAAGTGATCTATAATCTTTTGAGTTCTTAAGGCATCTTCTAACCATTTTCAAATTTTGCACATAAAAGAAGAGTTGAGTTTCACACTCTTAAGATCATTGTGGAAAAATAATGGGCTCAAGGAGATAAAAATTGATCAATTTATGACTTTTTGAAGTCATGTAAGGGAATTTGATGGCCTGTCTAGAGGACTTGTAATCTTTCTCAATCATTAGTGATCTTTCACATAAAATTTGCTTGAAACTTTTGATTGATTTGTTGGTAACCCTTTAAGGAGAAACATATCTTTTGAATCACTCAAAAATCTCAAAATATGAACAAGATATAGCCCTTAAAAGTCCAGAACTCTAACTCCTAGAGCATTAAAATGGCTTGGGAACCCCTTTCAATTTTGACAATCTTTCTTGTACAAATACTTTTGCTATGTGAAGAGATGTTGTTGTGGATGATAATAAGAACCTATAGCAACAATAACCACTTTCAAATTTTGAGAATTGAGGGAGTTATGTACTTGTGATCAAAGAATCAAGAACTTGTCCAATTAGGTCAAACTTCTTTAATCAAATCTTGCATCTTTTAACTTCCTTTGGCAATTGAAGCATGATGAATCATAGTAGACCTTGTCATGACATTTATTTAAATCACTTTCAATGATGAAGCTTAAATTTCAATGAAGATTTGTTGAAGAAGGCATGGAAATAAACTCATAAACTTATGAATCAACCTGATGAAGTGTGTTGTGCCCTCACCTTAGTGTGATCTTAATATGATTGAGTTGATATGAGATGATAGAGAAGTCTTAGGGATAAAAATTTGGGTATAACAATGACCTTTAGAAATTGTTACACTATAACATTTGATATTTGAATTTTCACCTTTGTTGTATGTATATGCACCTTAAATTAGAAAAATGAATAATGTTTCGAGCCATCCAAATCGTATAAAAAGTGTGAATGATAGTTACTACAACAATCTGATAAACCTGAGTGCTCCAAGAATTACTACAACTATCAAATATAGAGACTATACTCGAATGATCAAAAGAAATCTCAAATATATCTCCAAGCCATAACCATAGTTCCAAAGCAAAAGGACATTAAAGTAAAAGATGAGTAGTACTTTCTTGCTCCATCACTAACAGAAAATATAGCAGTTCCTAATTCGGGATCGTTAAACATTTTTTAAAAAAAAAAGTATTTTGTCGTATATTAATGTCTCAAATTTTAAAAATGTGTATTTATATCTTTTATATATACAAAAAAAAACATATTTATAAAAATGGAGATGATTTTAATTACTCCTAAGTGATGATTGCAACAAATGGTAGATGTTGAAGAAATTTCCAAAATATTTAATTGATAAATGATAATGACTAAATTCATTTAATGAAAGCTTAGATCACGAATGTTGTGTTAGTGTAGAGGTTATGACTTTGATTTAATAATTTAATATTCAAAGTGTTGTGGGTTTAACACTTAGTTTGGATATTTTTGTATATTATGTGTTAGTTTAACAAATAAATGCAAAAGTTACATTGCTCTGGATTCGAGTAGGCAACGTTTAAACTTAAATACATATGAAAATTATAATATTTCAAGTGGCAAAAATAATATCTAAATTTGCATCCAATTTGTCTAAATTGGTGGGGACGAATCGAACCTAAAGCTTAGTGTAAATACACGCTTTAGAATTTATTTTGTGCAACTTTCATCGTATCATTTTCATCTTCTTCTCGTTCATATATTACAGCAGACCTCCAATACAAGATCTAACAATCTTTAGATTCGATTTTCAATTTCGATTCATACTTTATTTACAATTAATATTAAAGTATGCAATTTTAAAGAAGGTGATACCAACTTTCAACGATGGTGAAAGGTACACCATTAATTCATATAATTTTTTAATTATGAAATTTTAATTTACAATTTTTTGTGGTTAATTTGTGACTACAACTTTGATGGAGAAATAAACTCGCATGATTCCTTATTCGTAACCATAGTGAATGGTACATAATTATATTAAATTTATATATGCATGATTTATAAATTATTCAAGTGTGTGAATTTGGATAATTAATAACATATTTGATTTATGGTGTATACTCAAATGTAAAATACATGTTAAATATTATTCTTAGTGCAAATAATTTATTCTAATTAATAATTCATTATTTCTAGATAAAATAATTTAGTGAAAAACAAAATCATGAATATGAATATATGATGCATATATTGATAACATAAAATGGTGCAAATAAAATATTAAAAATATCTATGATATATTTCAATTGTATATTTTATTTATGCAAGAATTTATTATATTTAAAATAATTTATCTCATATTATTTGTGTATCAATATGAAAATATTATTTCTTGTTCATCTTGATATCAAAAATAATTGTGGTATATTTTAAATTATTGTAAAGTGACAAATATTTATAGAGAAAAACTATAAAAAATATTAATGATGTGAATTCATTATTTATTTTATATTGTGATTTTTATTTATACCATAGAATATTGCTAAATATGAAACATAAATTCACAACATAAAATTTGTTATGCATATGTTAGTTACACAAGAAAATTATTTATTTTGAAAGAATAGAAATATATTTTATGGTGTTGTATTTATATGGAGTTTATGAATTACATGTTTGAGTCCACTTCATAAAACAAAAGTTAGTCATGACAAATATGTATGATCATAGTTGTCGATTGCTATAAATATTAAATGCATTAAATATATTTCAAGTGGAAGTAAAACTTCAAATTAAAAAAGTTGGCAAATGAAGAATGACATGCAATTTATGTATATGATAAAATGAATGACAAAAGTGTCATGGTGATAGTTTGTCGAAACTATCAAGAATACATAATATTTTCTATATGGTAAATGTACTAATATGATAAAAGTGTCATGGTTTGATGATAGTTGGTAAATACTATCAAGGGTATATAAAATAATCATAGACAACTATTTAAAAGATTGAATATTCAAAATTTATTATTTTAAAAAAAATCATGTGATTTTTTGACGAAAGGATTAACAAGAATATGATGTATTTGGATACAATTGAATACAAGGAAGACATCATTAGGGATGTGGAACAAATTCATATCTAATTAATCATTAATAGTGAAAACTCAACTCACACTTGATTAACGTTAAGTCTTGAGTTCAATGATAAAAATACACTATTAGAGTGATTAAAGTACTTGACAATACATACATTCCAAGAGATAAAAGTATTTAGACCATAAGAATAAATGTGGCAGGATGAAGTTTACTCTTAATAGACATATAACATATGTTTGCTGGAATGCATAATTATGAGTGTATTTCTGATATAGTCTACCTATATGCGAATGAAGTAGTACCGTTTCATAGAGTTTAAAGGCTTGATTCTTAAATTCTCATTAAAAAGATATGAGACGTGAAGCCTATACACACTTATTCTAATAAATAAGTGATTCAAAACTTGTCTACCAATCTATTTGGAGATGGATAAAAACTTAACTTATTAAGTAATGGTTCAAATCTTAAGATATCTTATATGAAACCATGAAATTTCTTAAATAATAAATTTAAATATATTTTGAAAATACTGAGAAATTGTTAAATAAATTTCTAAAATATTTAATTAATAAATAATAATGATTAAATTCATTTAAAGCTTAGATCACAAATGTTGTGTTGTTAGTATAGAAGTTATGACTTTGATTTAATATTCAAAATGTTGTAGGTTCAACACCTAGTTGGGATATTTTTGTATATTATGTGTTAGTTTACCAAATAAATGCAAAAATTAAGACCAAAAGTTACACTGCTCCATATTTGAACAAGCAACATTTAGCTAATAAACACACGGATTCATCTGTTTGTCACTAGATCATTGCACCTGTTTAGGTTAAATCTGAACATGATATTTAATATTGATTCAAATATTCATTAATTTAATGGTTATTTCCCTTCATCAACTGACATGAATTTCTCTATAAGTAGAGATAATTTGCAGATCTAAATACATACGAAAATTACAATATTTCAATATCTAAATTATTTTTTTTGTTTTTCTAGTGCACGAGAATAAATAAGAGAATTTTATTCGATAAAATATCATTGATCGATATATTTAATGTGAATGTGCGATTCATATTAAAAAATTTAAAATATCCTAAAAAAGATTAGCCGGTTAACTTATTAGCATCCAATTTGTCTAAATTAGTAGAGGCGAATCGAACTTAAAGCTTAGTATAAACACACGTTTTGGAATTTATTTTATACAACTTTCATCGTATCATTTTCATTTTCTTCTCGTTCATATACTGCAACAGACTCCCAATATAAGATCTAACGGTAGATTCTATTATTTGTTCATTTTAAGTAGAGGAAACATAGAGAGAAATTTAGAAGAAAAAGTATGAGAAGCATTACAAACAATTTGGTTTCAAATATTGGTTGCAATAATAATAGAGCAACACACCATGCCGATGCACCCCAGCCTGACCAATACCTAACTGCAATATAACAAAATAAGTATTATATATCGAGATCTATCCTCTACGTTAATATATAAACTTTCAACTGAACTGTGAATTTTGTAAAATTTGTATTCGTTAAAACTTTATTGATCGGTGTAACTGTAACTATAGTGCAATTTGATCCCTCCCATATAAATAAATAAATAAAAGCTCTCACACCGCCAACCAAGTAAAAGTAGTAGTTTTCTTCCTTAAAAAGTTAAGGAATTGAAATCTTCATCAGCTTGATGCCCTTGTCAAAAGGACAAGTACTATCTATGACTTACTAAAATCGAACGGAAATGTCTTTTGAATTTGTTCTTTGAAAGAAGGTGGAGAAGACGAGCGTGATTCTGAATCGATGAGGAATGACTTCAAATGTCTAGCAAATTCTTTGGACTTTTCAATGTTCAATGCATGCCCTGCATTCTTGATGATAACCATTTGAGCGTTTTCACCTATATGCCTGTTTCAAAGAGGAGATGAGTCCATGCTAACTAGTTTAATAAGATGCACGCGAATTCAACGCAATGTTAAGTAGCAACATGAATGAAGTTCCATTGGGTTGTAATATTATCACCTTTTTAATCTGTAGCCTAATTCCAAAGGGAATATCTGATCTTGTTCACCCCACATGATTAGAGTAGGAAGCTTCAATGAAAAACCAAAATGTTGTCAATATTCAAAGGTGAAGTATATAAATAATAATGTATTTCCTGGTTTGTGTGTATGTGTCTCAATCAATGCATTCCAAATAGATTTGTGCTCTGCATAAATGTGTGTTCAATGTCAGACATGTGTCTTGTGTCAGTGTCCGACATAGACTCAACACCGACACATATAGTTACGTTCCGTTTTTTCCATATAATTACAAGTGTCGACGTGCTAGACATGTCCATACTTAAAAAGAAATGAATTATCTCAAACATAAGTTTGTGCTCATTCAATACAAATATCCAAACACACTAAAACAGGGACATCAATGACATCTGAGCCATATCTACTAGGTTTGAAAGCTAGATGTATATTTAAGAATAAAGAAAGAATGGCTATATACTTTTATATATACCTGTTTGATCTTTGGAAGGTTGGAAAGATGTCTGTCTTTTAGTATTGCCACAAGCAATTCCTTCTTTTCTTCAATGTAATCTGTGCACATCACCTGTCAAAATCAATCAGCACATACATGATAAAATTATCATAATAGTGATGTGATAAACAAATCAGAAACATATACACAAACACTAGACAAAACAAAACACCGGAAAGTACACACAAATAGCAATTTGAAAAAATTAATGTCTAAATGAAATAAAATATGTAGGTGTTGTGTCGGTATCTGATTAATATTTGAATATGTATAAGTGTCGGTGCTACACAGATCACAAACACCAGACAAAACCCTAACACTGATGCACACACACACGAGGAATAAACAAGAAAGTTTAAGTGCTACACAGATCAAATTTTATTATCGGAAAAGAAAGAAAGAGTTGATACATACATGAATGAAATCTTCAAGGAAATAAGAAGGCACAACCCTAGCAGGTTTAACAAAAGACAACCTCATCAATTCCCTAAGCTTATCAGGAGTTTGAGGCAACAAAATACTAGAAGCATCGTCCAAACTGGAAACCCTAAACAATCCATTTTTCATATCAATCTCTTCCAAACAAACACCAGCACAACACAAAACCAACTTCTCCACCACCTCGGGAAACTGAGCAACCAAACTATACCCCACAAATCCGCCATAGCTTATCCCAACCAAGCTCAACCTCTCAACACCATGAGCCTCCATGAGTTTCATCAAACACACCGCTTGAAAAGACTCTGTCCTCTCAGGCCGTGAAGTGAAAGATCCACCAAAGAAAAGAAGATCAGGAACATACAAATTGAAATGTGTGATGAAATGCCGAAGATGTTCACCGTATTGCCACATTGCATTGGCACCAAAACCGTGAACAAGAACAAGCGTCGGTTTAGATGGATTATGCAACTTCGGTACCCAACAATGCATTATGGTTCCGTCGCCGAGATCGGTGACAACTGATCGGAGACCGGCGACGGTGAAGGTGTGACGGTATAGCCAGTCTCTGGAAGCGGTGAAACTGAAGCATTTTGAAAATCTTGTCAACATGGAAAAAGAAAGAAAAAAAATGAAACTTTTTGTGATTAATGTGATTGGTTATGAAGATTATGAAATGGGTTATGAAGAAATTCAAATGGGTTTGTTGTTTTTGTATGATAGTGATGATGATTTGAGAAACAGAGGAAAGCAGGGGAAAACAGGGGATTTTGATTAGTTTAATTTAGAATTGTTTATTGATTGATTCATTGGATTGATCGATGGGTGAATGTGGAAATTGAAGATGATGAGATAAAGGCTAACACAAGAAGAAGTGGAATTAGAATGCAATGATTTTGGATTTTCGGCGGTTAGAAGCATCTTCTTCAACATTCTAATATTTTATATATAAAGACAAGGTTAACATGGGCATGGACATCTGTTATTTCAAGATTCACAAAAGTACAGGTAATAACATTTTTAAAAACAAGAAAATAGAGATAATAACAAGTGTTGCATATATGTAAAGAAATCTAAAGTTTGACTTATACATATATGAGAGAGTGATATAATTTAAATTTTATGATAATTTAAATAGAAATAGTTTTATGAAAAAATATTTAAAAAATGTTAAATTTGGCACACAATTTTATATTAAAGACAAAAGAAGAAATGTAAGAGGGTTGTATAGGAAGTATAAATATTTTACATTAAAAAATTATAAATTCATACCTAATTTAATACTTGTATAGTCGAGATTGGTATTGGACTTGATAGAAAAAACTACTATTCAATCTCCAAATCCAAAAGGCAGATAAAGGTCCAAATCCAAACAACTATTCGAGGAATGCTCACGAAAGGACCATCACCGAACGTGCCCGACCACAGACTGCAGCTGTCATGCCCGCCATTGCCCGCGACAAGCAGTGTCCCCGACCAAGGGAACACCAGCTCGAGTCCAGCTCGAGCACCCTCCCCGTAGGGCAGATTCTGTCCACCCTAACCGTTGTAGAATCCTTCAAGCTCCAGAAAGACCGCGTCTTCGTCCCTCCTTATTCTTCGCACAGCATCACCGGGAAGGGAACCACGTGCGGAGCTCCACTACACACGTAGAACCTGGCAGTTCCTTTATTGGGCCAGTTCTGGTCGGCCCAATGAGGGGACCTTGACCCAGCACTGGGGGCTATAAATACCCTTTGTTCCAAGAGGGTCAGGTATTCATATATTACACACCTATACATTTTCTACCTGCTCATTCCGTCTCTCATTTTAGCATCGGAGTGTCTTGCAGGTACCCCCCCAATCTCACTCAAATTCAGTTCGAGCCAGCCGTGACGGTCCAAGTATGATCAGGTAAGATCAGTGGCACCGTCTGTGGGAAACTAGCTTCCCCGTCTTGCACACTCTCAAAGACCAAAGCTAAAAATCACATCCTACCATCATGGCTGACCAAGTTCGGGATGACCAGAACATCCGCGTCGTCGACGCCAACAACAACCTCGCGGATAAGAACGAAATCCCCGATAACGTCGACAACCCCGGCCATAGCACGCTCCCCGGGGGTGCCATCCCTGGGCCCTCGGGCCACCGCAACGGAGCCACTACCTTATCTTCTTCGGTCCCTCCTCCGCTCGAAGAAGACAATACGGCTCCCCCAAACTACCTAGCTGCCCAATTCCAGGAAGTCCCTGTCCCCGCTGGGGCATACGCCACGACCAGAGCGCTGTTCGCGGCAATCAATCAAACCAACTACCTCATCTTTGCCCAGGGGGAAAGATTGAGGGCGCTAGAGGACGACAGAAGACCCCCGAGGAGGCACAGGAGGCCTCAGACCCCACCTCCTCGAGTAACAGAGGTACGTCTCCCGTCTTCCCCGCGGAGGCAATACAGGGACACCTCCCGAAACCCGTCGCCTCGACCATCGGGGAGACGACCTCCCTTGGAGAGGCAACCCGTCATTGAAGCCGGAGGGCACAACCACGGCCCCTTACGGCAAGAAAGAAGACACCCTGGAGATAGGCACGGGAGGGAGAACCAACGAGCATCCTGCTCGAGAGGCATTCAGCACGACTAGGATCGTCGAGCCCGACAATATCTCAGGTCCCCGTCCCTATCCCCAAAGCAAAGTGACGAGGACGACCCTCGCGGTCCCCTTTCACAAGCCATTATGGAGGCGCCCATTCCCCCGGGCATGGAGAAGCCTCCACATCTGAAAGAATACGACGGAGTTGCAGACCCAGTCGACCACATAGACGGGTTCGAAGCTATATTGCATTACCATAACGTCGGGGGACCCATCAAATGCCGGTTGTTTCCCACAACCCTCAGAAAGGCAGCAATGGATTGGTATAAAGGTCTCGCCCCGGGATCAATCACCTCGTGGCAAAACTTGAAGATACAATTCATAAGTTCGTTCACCGCGTCCCGGCGACATCCAAAGACCGAGGCAGCACTCGAGGCCATCGTCCAGAGGCAGGACGAGACTTTGAGAGAATTCATCAACCGCTTCAATCGCGAAGCCATACAGGTCCCCTGCGCGGACCAGATGAAGAGGTACTTGCTGGAGAGGGGGCTCCTCCCCGGCACAGAATTCAGAAAGGCGATGGGCATCGAACCGCCCCGAACGTTCGATGCTCTCCTCGAGAAGGTCCGGGCATATATGGATTACGAGGAAAGGGAAGCGGCCAACAGAGCTCGGGACCCCAGAACTCGCGGATCCAGCAACAACCCGCGCCAAGAGGCCGCTCCTCCTCGACGAACAGGGGAGAAGAGAAAAGAGGACAGACCCCGAGAAATCCGAGAACAGAGAGGAACCTCGGGGCGTTTCACAGAATACACTCCGCTCACGGCTTCCCGCGAGCGCATCTTGGCGGAGTGCGCCAGCACGGATTTCAAAGATGGCAGCGTCAAGCACCCTCGACCAGCTCCTGCCAAGCCCGGGGTGGACAAGAGAAAATACTGTCAGTACCATAGGAGCCACGGTCATCTGACGGAGGACTGCGTCCACCTCAAGGACGCCATCGAGACCCTCATAAAAGGGGGGGAGACTCGCCCAATATCGGCAAAACGACACTCCTCGTGGCGATGCCCGGGATACAAGAGAACCGGAGGAGGACGCCCGACCATCTGACGAGTCGGTCCCCATCCAGACCGCCTTCTCCGTCACAAGACCTGAGGACTTCTACGTCCCCAAGCACCTGCAAGAACCATTGGCAACACATAACAGGTGGGAGCACTTTCCCTCCGCCATGATCATCAATGGTGGAGGATTCAACGACCTAACCATAAATTCGGCCAAGAGGAAGCTGGATGAACTAATCGACTCTGCACATCCTCAGACAGTGACTTTTGAAAGGGTGAAAGGCAGGTTGGAGCCTATCATCTTTTACCTCGAAGAGCTCCCTGGAGGAGCCCCCAACGCGGTCATTCCTCTACTAATAAGACCGAGAATGGCTAATTTTGACGTACACCGCATTCTCGTCGACAAAGGAAGTTTCGTCGACGTAATGTACAGTCAACTGTTCCGGACCCTGCATCTCGACGACTCGCACCTCACCTTATGTGGGGTCGGACCTACAGGGCTTCAACGGCTCGACCTCCAAACCTTGGGGATACGTCGAGCTCATGGTTACCTTTGGCGAGGACACAGCGGCGAGGCAGGTCAAGGTGCACTTCCTCGTGATCGACTGCCCGTCCCAATACAACTGTATCCTGGGACGACCAACACTAGCAGAACTGACCGCGGTACCCTCTACCGTCCACTTGAAGATGAAGTTTTACACCAAGAGGTCACGGGTCGCCACCATCCAAGGGGACCTGGCTGCTGCTCGAAGGTGTTTCAACGCGACATCCAAGGGACACGACACGGTCGACACTGGGACAAGACCGGCCAAGAGACCAGCAACGACACGACCAGAGCCCGAGAAGACAGAGCTCGTCAAGGCAGAAGAACATAGGGCTCCCCCAAAGGTCGACTTCATAGCCTTGGACACCCGTTTCGACCAAGACGAGCCTCCCAGCGGCGAGCAAGCCCCCCTCCGACCAATCCCGGACGGGGACTTCGAGCTCGTTCCCCTCGGCAAAGACGCATGCAAAGGAGTGAAGATCGATACCGACCTCCCCGACCTGGCAAGGAAGCAGATCAAAGCCTGCTTGCGCGAGAATGTTGACTTGTTCGCATGGAGAGCCGCGGAGATGCCCGGACTCGACCTCGAGGTCGCCTGTCACCGTCTCGCCATAGATCCAGCCGCTAAGGCAGTAGTACAACATAGACGTAGGCAGTCCCCAGAGAAAATGGAGGTTGCTGAAAAAGCTGTAAAAGACCTTTTAGAGGCAAATTTTATTTCTGAAGCCCGGTATTCAACCTGGCTGTCAAACGTTGTATTAGTCAAAAAGAATAATGGAAAATGGAGAATGTGTGTTGATTATACCGACCTCAATTGGGCATGCCCGAAGGATGCTTTTCCTTTACCAAACATAGACATGCTGGTCGACAATTCGGTCGGTTACAAAATACTGTCGTTCATGGATGCCTATTCAGGCTATAACCAAATCCCAATGGCCATCAGCGACAAGCATTGCACTGCCTTCATGACCAGCTCGGACAACTATTACTACAACGTAATGCCCTTCAGTCTAAAAAACGCGGGGCAACATACCAACGTATGATGAACAGAGTATTCCATAACCAAATTGGGGACATGCTCGAGGTTTACATGGACGACATGATCGTCAAATCCCGAGAAGACACCGATCATGCTGCCCATCTCAAAGCAGTCTTTGCCCAAGTGAGACAATGCAAGATGAGATTCAACCCCGAGAAATGCACGTTCGGGGTCAAAGCAGGGAAATTCCTCGGTTTTTACCTGACATAATGAGGAATTGAAGCCAATCCCGACAAGTGTCGAGCCTTCTCCTACCTCCCGACACCCACGTCAAAAAAATCAATACAATTCATGAACGGCATGCTCACCTCGTTGTCCCGCTTCGTCGCGAGATCCGCTCAACACGCCCTCCCCTTCTTCAAACTCCTTCGTAAAGAGGCAGCCTTCGAATGGACCGAGGAATGCGAA